CGATGCCAGAAGCCCTGAATAGCTTCTTGTTACTAGTAGCGATGCCCTTTACCTTTAACTTTGTGGCTAGAAGCTTCTTGCTCCTAGTAGTAAGGCCAGGAGCCCCCAAAAGTGTCCTTGCTCCTAGTAGGGATGCCAGGAGCCCCTAATAGCTTCTTGTTACTAGTAGCGATGCCCTTTGTTTCTTGTAGCTTCTTGCTCCTAGTAGCAAGGCCAGGAGCCCGTAGTACCAACCTTGCGATGCCAGGAGCCCTTAATAGCTTCTTGTTACAAGTAGCGATGGCCTTTGTTACTTGTAGCTTCTTGCTCCTAGTAGTAAGGCCAGGAGCCCTCGCTCCTAGTAGCGATCCAAGGATCCAGAACGGCGACGCCACCCATCTCCAGGGTCTCGTAGACTTTCGCCATGAAGTCCAGCTGTGATGGGTAAGGCCTGGGTTCCCCTCCACGGATCAACCCCATCGGAGGTAGGACACAAACATGGCGACCGGCTACATCATGACGAATCTCCTATAAAGGGTGGATCCGTGGATCCCTATAGAAAAGCTACTAGGTGGAGGCCATCCATCGCTGATAGTAACAATAAAGCTTTCTAACTAGAAGCTTCCTTGGGACAAGTAACAATAAAATCAGTACAGTTTTCTAGTATGTCCTGGAAAGTTTCTTAGCAATAAAACTGTCTAACTTGAAATTTCAAGCATTAGTAGTAATGGCCTCCAACCTAATAGCGATGCCCTTTGCTCCCAGTAGCTTCTTGTTACTGGAAGCAATGCCAGGAGCTACGTTCGTAGCGTCCTTGGAAAAACCGGACCTCTGAAATCCGGGGCCCAGTGGTCTGTCACATCCGAGCCTTTGCGTCCGAACGAAGTGACCCGAACGAAAACCGGACACCCGAACGAGGTGTATGAATAACCACCAATTCCGAAAAGGTTTTGCAATCCAAATGGGGGAGGTTGATTCATTAATCAACTAGTCTACATGGCTGAGGTGATTATCGGGGTGTCAAAAAAAATGGGAGCTGTTGAAAGGTCCTAGAACTTGATCTCGTTGTTGTGAGGTCACTGGGCAAGGCTCGGTTTCCAGGACACTGGCTAGTCATACATGCGAAACGGTCAGTTGCCATCCTTCGCTGTCATGAGTTCATCCAACCCGCGCGTGCGTCACGCTTTTCGCGCCGAAGTAGTTGGGCCGCCCGTGCGGGTGCGGGAAACCGTAGGTCTCTGGACCCTGCCAGGTGGGTCGGTCGAGTCGTCGACTTCGGTTCAACGCGCAAAGAGAGATTTGAGATGGGTCCAAGCAAGGTGAAGTGGGCGAACCATAGGACCCGTTAACCTGGCCCAACTGGGATGGTGGTCTATAGGGAGTTAACAATCGAACTCGATGTCTGCGGCACGTCGGTTCCGGGTCACACTAAATGCGCCTGTTTTCACAAGTTCCTGTGTATTTTCTCTCCCGCGTAGCGAACATATTGGCTTCTTCACTCACAAGCCAATGAGCCTACTCGATACTGGGCTCATTCGCGAAGGGGCGACCTCGGAAAGTGGCCCAATGAGAATTCTCAACTCGACGGTTTGTCTTTCAAGCACTTTGTGTAGATCGGAGCGACTCCTTCTGAACTCTCGGTTTTGAAAGCTTGGAAGTAAGAGTGCAGTGCAGCTTCATCTTTTGGTCCCTTGATCTTATTCGCAACATCGATCATCAAGACGTGGCTGAATGAACTTTTGCCCAATACTCCAATAAAGATCGGCATGTTGACCAGTTGTTCCTTTCGATAGCCTGCTGAGTCAAGCGACTTGGCCTTTTCTTCGTCTATGACTAACTTGATTTCTGCCATCAAAGCATCAAGCTGAGTCTGATCTTCCAATTCTGCTCCAGTCCAACTGACAGCATCCTGGAGTGTCTTTTCGAAGGCATCCTTGTTGGCTCCTCTAAGGTGTGCGCAATACCCTGGTGCGTTTGGGTCCATCTTCTCAATCAAGTGTTGGATGTAATTCCTCAAAAGCCTTCGACGAGATGTTCCTCTCCAAGATCATCGCCAGAGTCTTTGTTGATGTCTCAGCCTTTTGGCATCTTTCTCATTCGTCTTTTTGCCAGAGTCTCTTTGTGCTGAGGACATGTTTGGCAAAGGAGTGAGTGGGCCCCTAGAGATGAAGCTTGAGAGAAACACGTCCAGTAGTTGTGAAACGTTGATGACCGGATCACGTGGGAGCTACAATCATTACTGTAAGATTCCCGTGACATTCAAATTCCAGTGTTGCACCAAAGCACTATGCTACGTGGCAAAAGCAACATTCAAGTCTTCGCTCACTCATTCACTCAGGTCAGTTCACAGACCTCTGGACATAGGTCAGTTCGCTTTCTATGGTGTCCACCCAGGGGATTCTTCTTAAGGGTTCTTCAACCTTTGTTGGGGTGTTGATGGGACACTGCAGGTGATTGGAGTCTGATGTTCCTACGGCCCCCACGTTCTCAGACACTTCTAAACGGTCATAGATTGGGGATCTTGCAGTCAGAAAGCACAGTGAACTCCTGTGCTCTTAAAGCCCTGATTTGTACCAAAGCGATTCTCATGCTGAATACTCCTTGCAGTTCTTTTGGATAGTCAAATCTTGTAGTTGTCCCCGGTTGTCCCCAAGGGAGTGTTGTTTGCGGCCAATGTCGAACACCAAGTTTACATGATTGCTATTGCGTTCTTCGCGAAGTCAAACGATTGATGGAGACATAGACAGAGAGCACCAAAGAGAGATAGAGATAGAGATAGAGGATGATAGAGGACAGGTCCAGGTAGTCCAGTTGCCTAGTCGGTCAGGCGTGGATTCGTGCTGTCAGACTTGGACGCGGAGAGGTTCGAATCCTACAAGGGATAACGGCTGGAGGAGAATTCGGTGCATGTGGTACCGAGGAAAAAAAGGAGAGAGCTAGAAGATCCGATGCGAGGGAACGTGAGGCGAGAAGTGCCTTCTCTCTCTCTCTCTCTGTGCTAGGAGGATATTGAAAACTGGTAGAGACGATGTCCACTCATGGTTGAGTAGTTTGTACTTGCCCACTCAAGTGTTCTTAGAACAGGAGTACATCAGTATGAGTGTGTGCTGCATGCTAGTGTCCTACAAGAGCGCAAAGTGTCGTGCAAAAGTGTCCTACAAGACTGTCACGAAAAAAAGTGTCGCACCACATTGTTAAGTAGAGTTCTACGAAAGTGTCACACAAGAGTCTCAGAAAGAATGTTGTACAAGAGTGTCACGCAATGAGAGTTTTGCAAGAGCATCACAAAAGTGTGTCCTACAAGATTGTCTTACAAGAGTGTCCCACAAAAAGAGCGTCCCGCAAAAGAGTGTCACACAACGGTGTGCCAGAAGAGCGTCGCACAAGAGTGTCATTCAAAAGGTAGGCACCAGGGCAGGAGTTATATAGTAGATTATAGTAGTACACATATTCCATTTGTTCATATTCGGTCTGTCACAACTTGACCATTAAACAACTGTGAATAGGATACATCAACACGTTTGTCGGCCCTCGGTCGATGCCGCGGCCCCCGCCTGAAGATCCGCCATCGGTCTGTTCTCGTGGGGTCTCCCACCACGGTCCGTCGATGAAGTGAGGGAAAGAAGGGTGCGAAGGTGGTATGCTCGAAGCTAGTAACGTGACATTTACCCTGGATCACTTTGCGAATGTTTGCAGCGACATGGTGTTAATCCAGTTACCCCAAAAAATTGAAGAGACATCATGGACTCGTTTCATTGACCATGCAGAAGAACGTGCCTGTAGATCCATTCAGGAGATCCACTTGTTTTGTCTACCGCACATGAAGTAGTCACGTAAGCGAAATTTATAGAGAAAGCTCTTGGATCCTGATCTACGCGAGTTTCCACAAATACCACGTTCTTCCTGTTTGTCTTTCATCGTGGAATGATTTGGGCATTGTCTTTTTCCGAAAACTAAGAAAGGATTGCTTCTCTACCAGAACAATACACTTGCAATCCCTAGCGGTGATTTCTCTGCATCGGTCTCACCAGCTGGTCCCTTTCCTCTCAGTCCCTCGGCTGTGAGGGCGGGTTACGGCCGCGCGCGCGCGCGTCGGAGCGGACGTCTCCGTGGTTCGACGCCACGTTCGAAGCCCCCTGTTGCTAGTAAGGCACCTGTTACTACTAGCGTGGCACTTGTTCCTAGTAGCTTCTTGTTACTACTGGTAAGGCACTTGTTTCTAGTAGCAATGCACTTGTTCCTAGTAGCTTACTGGATGTCTTGAAAAGATGGGCATCTGGGAAGCCGGACACCTACTACTGAGGTTGGCGCCATCTACTCTGAAACCATTGCAACAAACATCCACCCAAGCTTGGCGTCTGCCCAAGCTTGCCATCTAGTCTCAATCCACCCAAAAGCGAGAGTGTTAGATCTGATCTTCCAAGCCAAGCGAGAGTGTTGGTCAAGTCAGTCAGTTGACACGAGCCTCTCCACCTCTGTTGCAAAAAAATACACCGTCCTTCAACATCCAGCTAGTTGCTTCATCACCTAGATGCATATCTTCGAGAGAATTCAAAAGACAACACCTTTTCACACCAACACCAACAGGACCTTTGTGATAACTTGCGCTCTTTTTGCAGCACTGGAGGACGGTCATATGTGGTCCTTGAAGGACCGGTGTATCCAATGAATTCCGCTGATGGGGAAACCGACCAGGTAGAAGTATTCGGCTCCTCTACCTCTGATGGTTGATTTGGGCCGTTCGTGGTCAAGTCCAAACTACCGAAAACCCATCATTGAAGACCCTGGTGTCTGAACGGAAAGGACCAGAAAAGATTCTGGTGAGTGGTCCTATGTGTCAGTAATTCTACGGTATCGTTACATCAATAATGTTCAACAAGTAAATCAACATATAAACAGGCATTGACTTGCCCTACCTCCACTACTACCTCCCTTAAGGAACACTTCGCTGCCCCACTGCCCAAAACGCTGCCGTCGAGGATGACCCAAACCCCCCCCTACTGACCGGTCGGAACCGTCCTCGCCGGGGCATCTCTTAGAGATTCCGGCGACCGCCGGTGGCCACCTGGCGGAGCGCGCGTCCGGTCTACACGGGTCAGAGAGCATTCCGATTCGGTGTGATCTGGACTACGACGACGCCACACCGAAGCGGAACGGTTTCAGATTTGGGAGAAGGTGTTTGCGCCAAGGATCACGAGTACTTACAGGTGAGCTGAGCGATACGCCGCTGCAGATGCTGCAGATGGCGGCACTTGCAGATGGCGCACGGCGTAATACGCTACGTAGGGCTTCGCTCGAAGGGGTTGAAGGGATCTCCTCCAAAAGATGGGCTCTGGACGAAGACTCTCTGCCAGCAGTCACAAACGGGTGCTTAATGGAGGTTAGGGGTGCCCATTATCCACTCACTTAGGGACTAAAGCCACCCCTTTGTGACCCCTGGTGGATCTTGGGTCATTCATGTCTTAAGTTTTCTCTACGTCCCCCTCTTGGCTCCCTAGCTCGTGGAAGTGGAACTCGCCTATAAAAAGAGGGAGCCAAGTGGCTCAGTGTTTCCACATCATCTACCTGGACCATCCATTGGAAGTCCAGGGAAGTGGTACAGGGTAGTCGAGCCAGGGGACCTGCCCTGGTAGAATCAGATCCAAAGATTCAAAGGTCCCAATCAGCAGTGCCTAGGCCCCAGGATCCCCAGAAGGACGTCCAGTCATGTTTTTCTCAGGTTGGTCTCAAAACTTGGGCATCAACCCATCAACACTTGGTAGAACAGAAGACAAAGAACAAACCCCTTTATTGCAGGACCCCTGATGTTTTGGACTTGCATGTATTCGATGTGTAGTCACCCCAAATGAATGACCGCTTGGAAGCCCACACGGCACGATCATCACGATACGTATCGGAGAAGAGCGGACCACGGAGCTCGGACCAGCGAGCCCCAACGAGTGAAGCACAGCTGACCTAGAACCCAAACATGACCCTTTTTGGTCTTGAGGAGAAAGGGCCCATGGTTTTTTGGTTCGCTTTTTCACTCGTTTGGTCATTCAGGTTCTATCGTAAAACGTGCATATAGTAATATATATTATATATGAGAGACGCGCAAAAAACCTCATGTGTTGTAGTGCGCGCTCTTCCCAACGATATCGTTCCTTTCTGTGAACCTTATCATTCCTGAGGGTTTGGACACACCTAACAACATGTACTAAAACCTAATCGATTTTTTTGAACCTTATTTTCGTTCCTGAAAGGGCAACCAACACGCGGACACAGCTGCGAATATGGCTAATGCGGGTAGATCCCAAGATTTTTGGAACACTCGCGCTGCCTTTGTTCAGGAGTGGACAGAGTACCAGCGCCTTTGTCGAGCTAGCCAAAGAGCAGTTGCTAGCAGTGGCAACATCCCACGAAGCTGTGTCTGATGCTGAAGCTCAAGAAAACCAACCTCTGAGTGCTTTGCTTCCCCACCGTGCAATGCAAAGTGCACAACGCATGTTTTGTAGCTTTTTCACCCTTGAGCGGAGTTTTGAGCTGGCTGCTACGAAAACAGCATCCCGTTTTGGATGTGAAATTGTGACCTCGGTTTTTCGGTTTCTGAGTTTTTGTGATTTTGATGCGGAGGAAGAAGGCCTTATTTCACATCTTGAACTCTATTTTGGGTGGCGCTTGGCCACTGGTTCACAGTTGCCAGTGGAGGATCCAGTGACCAAGCGCTGGATCAACCCTCGACATGTTTTGGCTGACGCTTTTACTAAGACTTTGTCGGTAGATCTTGCTGTTTTTAGGGGGGTTGTTGCTGGGGTTGCTAGAGAGCTTGGTTTTTCGTTAGGTAGGGGGTTCATTGATTTGCCGCATGTTTCGGTGTACCGACGGATATCGGCCAGCCGCCATTTCTGAGAGTGTGACGGCCAATTTGGCCACACACTTTGCACAGAAGCCTCTGCGACGGACCATTGATATGGTCAGGAGGGTGGGTGATTTGGTTGACGATGGTGTTGTTGAGTGGTATGGAACGTCCAGGAGCGATGAAGTGGTGGGCTGAGTGAAGGGACGCTTCCCCTCCGACTTCACTGCCTATGAAAGGCCGTGACGGACAGGGACCGCAAGTCGCGCTATTATCGTTCCTGAAGGTTTCCTTCACTTTATTTACTTAGTCTTCACTGTAGTGATGCTGCCTTCATCGGAGGTTTTGACAGTTGCTCATATCATTATACATATATAATTTTTCTGGCGCCCCATCCCAACATTCTTTGCAACGGATCACATCCCCCCTGGCGGCCGCACATTCATGCCGACCGCGCGTGCCATGAGTTGCACCCGCCCAGGGCCTGCCTGGGACATCGACTTCCACCCAGCGGCGCAGCGGAAAGGTAATTAAAAATCTATTTCTAATAGCAAACATTGTTCCTAGTAGTATGGCCAGGAGCCCCGTTCGTAGCGTCCTTGTTCCTAGCGATGCCAGGAGCCCCGTACGTAGCGTCCGATCGCTCCTACCCCACAGGAATTGGGCCACTGCCAGGTGTGACGGAGGGTTGGTTGATTTACTGCTAAGATTCCCTACCAGCATCCGGGACCTGGGTGTCCTGGGCATGGAGATCCCTAGACAGATCGTGGGCTGGGTAGTCCAGCCAGGACAGATGGATGGTCCGGGGTCAACCAAGGGAGCAGCTCGGGTCCCTGGTTTTGACCCACAGCCATCTCTGTTGTCATGGCCCAGGAATGGGCCACTCTAATGACTGAAAGATTGCTACACGTATATGAACAATATAGACACCTACCATATCATACATTCGTCATTCATTGATTCACCTCGTGCACCAAAAACACGATTCTTCGCTCCAAAAACTCGTGGTTTCGGTGCACCCAGGATCTGAGACCCATTTCGCAGGCTGAACTCCCACCATCCTCCGATCCTCCGATCCGCACGTCGACATCTTAAATCACCAGTTCGACTCGCGGCGCGTTTTGTGCACTTCAATCACCATCCTCGACGCCTCTCCCACACCCCAATCACCATCTTCTTTGCCCCGCGGCATACTGCATCTGATGCGCCAGCCGACGCAAGCGGGCTGGACTGGCCTCAACACATTCCGGTCCGCACCGACATCCAACGAAAAACCCACACCGTTCCGGAATCCGATCGAACGACGATCGGACAGACAAAATGGTCCTGGATTCGGTCCGGGCCCTCTGGGACCCTCTGGCCATGGGCGATGGGGTGAGGGCTCGGGGCCCGACGTGCCAAAACGCCTTTCTTCACGGGGGCACCCGGTCGTCGCTAAAAATGGTCGCCGAGGAGCTGTTCGGGTGTGAGCTTTCAAACAGCGTAGCTTCGGGTGTGAGCTCCGACCGCTCCGAGTTGTAAGGCCAGGAGCTACGTTCGGTTCGCGTCCAACCGCTCCGTTCGAGTCGCGATGCCCTTTGATACGTTCGTAGCTTCTTGTTACTAGTAGTAAGGCCAAGAGCTACTAGTAGCTACTTGCTACTACTACTGTACAGCGTTGTTTGTTGAGACTCTGAGACCTTCTAGAAAACACCTACGATTGCAGGCCTCCCCGGAAAAGAGCGATGGCCTCCAACCTAATAGGCCAGGGAAGGATGGATCGGAAAGAACCTTGGAACTTGGGAAGCCAGGTATGAATCCAAAATAGAACTAGCAGCATGGCGTGCAAACAAACAGAACCTTAGGAACAATAAGCTACTAGGAACAAGTGCATCGCTTCTAGTAACAAGTGCCTTACTAGTAGTAACAATGTTTGCTATTAGGAACAAGTACATACCGGCATGACTCCATGACCTCATGACATCTAATGATAGATAGTGGTGGGACACATGACCTCTCACCAGCTGCCAATCTGGTTCTTCATGACTTTATGACATTCAAACCTTAAGAGTAAGGAACCGTGGGTCAAACCGCCTGTGTGCTACTAGTAAAGCATAGTAAAGCTAATGGCACCCCTTGAAGATTCAAGCACTCCGAGGGTTTTGTGGAAGCACCGCGAGAACTACCCCTGGTCCACATACAGGGACCTGTGCACCGCATGGCATGGAACCCGAGTGTGGCGAGCTTTTTATCTGAGGACCCCTGCATCACCACCAGTGGTGAGAGGGCCACTATCCTGGTCAGCCCGCCCCGTGGCCGGCCACAAACCAGGACCATCCGTCCATCTGGGTGTGGCTGGACATGCCCCCAGCCCCACCCAGGTCCGTGATGGTCGGTCGACTTCCTTCGTCCACTTCCCAAACCGCCGGATCCAACACCGCGATGCCAGTCCTGGTTCTGTCCTTGATCCAACGTATTGGCGAACAAAAGAGGCGGCCAAGAATGATGGTGTAACCTCCACTTCATGTCCTTTTCATGTGCAAGAAAAGACACAATGGCTTTGCACAAATTGAGTGAGAGTGCGACATCAAAGTGAGGAGAAGTCAAGCAAAATGCTCGACCCAAAACAATTCTGCAACCTCCAACTGCCTCTTGAAGGTGAAGGGTGACAAACAGAAGCATGCCCATTGACCGCTGACCTTACCATCACAAAGACACATCTTATCAAACATGATACCTTTAAAAGGGACTGTCAAGTTTCCATATGATACATAAGATGGCACAAAATCAAACATCTGTTGTTCTCTTGAGAGCACTCCCCTACAGTACACCCCTCTCAAAGATGCTGCTGCAAATTGTTGAGATTCTGTTCATGCTAAGGACCCTAAAAGAACAGGGACTCACAGCGACCGGGAACAACATCGTCAATTCGATTTCGCGCCCAGGAATCTAGCTCTGTCCTCGAAGTGCAAGGTCTGGGGTGAGGTCCTGGAAGCTTTACACTCGAACTAACATGGTTACGCGGATGGCATGGCCGCACCGAAAGGAAGACCATGAAATCCACGAACCAAACATGTGGTGAACTCCACGTAACCATGATCATTCCAGGCAGAGTACATCCGAACTGAACGATGGAAATCGCCTGGTGAACTCCGTGGACTCCAATCACCCCGACGCGATCCATGGGCAAACACCTTCCATGATGATAGGGTACACAGTATACTAATTCATTCTTTGCAGGGCCTAAGGCTTCGTGCAAGGACGCTACTAGGGGCGCATCGCTACTAGTAACAAAAAACTATGAACGGGGCTCCTGGCCTTACTACGAACCGTTCGCGATCGGACGCTACGAGTAAGGGGCTCTGGGACTGAATTTAAACTGGACTTGGAACAAGAAGCTACGATCGGACCTTTTGTTTGCAGGGCCTAAGGCTTCGTGAGTTTTCTGTCGTTTCCCCGCAGGCCAGGTTCCCGGACCGCGCAGGACTTGCCACCCTGTGTTCGGCGAGTCACGGTGTGTTCGTTCACACCGATCGTGGTCCGGGTGCCCCTTGAGAAACGAAGAACATCATGCAGATGAGGACCTGTGGGAACAATAGCGCAAAATCCCAAGAAGTCAAGGTTGAACATAACATATCTGAAACCTTCTGAGAACAAAAGGCAACAAGCCCACCTCGTGGTGGTGGTCATGTGGGTCAATTGATGACGTGCGACAAGCCCACCTCGTCCTCTGTTTAAAAGAACAGCGCAGCGGTGAGGAACTCACCAGCCATGCAAAAACTGGGAATCGGGTATAACGGTATCACCCATTACCAGGGCCCCCAGTAAATGATGATTCTCTGAGGTTGCAGACCTTTCCCCGACTGTCACCAAAAGTGTGATACAATAATATGCAGTGTAATATAATCCCCGTACGAATTCAGGGGTTGAGGTTGTGTCAGGCATTTTGTAGCAAAAAAGTATTCTTGTCCTACAGAAAGGCCTGTCCGACATACAAAATTTTAGTTTGGTCATTACAAAATGAAGTACATGACATCATTGTGTACAGGGCTTCAATGAGCTCTGGAAAATATGCTCACTACAAAATGAATGGACTCAACCTCAAATCGATATGTCTGTCGGAGACAATGTGCAACTTTCCGAACAATCTCCGGCCATACGGAAGCTTTCCGTCAACTTTTGTTAACAAAATTGCTATACCTCAGGTCTTTCTGCTATGTGCTGTTCCAGTCCCGAAATGGCTCACAGATTACAAAATGACATGCTTGTCCATACAGTGGAGCTCATAAGGTTACAAAATGCATATACCTTAGGTCATGTTGTAACGTCCTATTCCAATGCCTAAATTGCTCACAGACTGCAAAATGTGATTCCTGTCCATGAACAATTGCCTTCTACTACACAATCAAATAGCCTGGATCATTCTGTAGTCCTGCTCCAGGATGATATCGCTACAAACTAGCGGCCTCAACATCTTTTTGTAAGCCCCTGATAGGCCCACTACCCCAGATTCTTACTTACAAATCCTTACAAAATGGTGGCCTCAACCTCATATCACATCAGTCACACAGTGAGTTGGGCATGTATTACCCGATTTCAGGGCTGGGCACTACAAAATGACCCCTCATATAGGGCCTCAAGGCCCTGCATTTTGGAATGGTTATTCGCACGGGGATGTAATATATAGATATATATACAATTAAACCTTCCAAGACAATGCAAATAGTATATTAAAACATGATTGATCTGGTTTGGTACTGTAAGATCCTTAGTAGTGCATGGATGTTCGGAATTCATTCAGCCTATTAAAAAAGGGATAAACTGGGAATCGTAGGATTTTTCTACCTAGAACCCAAACATGACCTCTGTTTTGATAGGAAACAACCTATAGATTCATAATGATTCATATGCCTAGTGTCTTCCTCTTCCCGGTGAGTGGTATCCACGGAGAAGCCGCCATGGGTCGGGTCTTCTCCGTGCTGGCGCCTTTCGAGAGGCGCTGGTCCCTGGTCGTGTCCATCTTGATGCTCCTCAGTGACGAGATGGGTGTGCTAGGCATAGTCAGAGTCAGTACATGGGTGTATTAAGAATTATTATATATATATATTGTTTTATTTTCGTTATTTTAACAAGGAGACCTTACACACTCAGATACTCAGATGAGATAGGAGAAACATGCTGCAGAACCCTGTTCTTGCTCTTGAAACAGCAAGAAGTATTATACACGTTGTTGAAACATGAAAATCCTTCTCTGTCCGTTGTGAGGGTGTTGTTCTAGTCCAACAAACCCATTAGAAACCAGGATCCGGCTTCAGCGTGCTACAGGATCCTTCCCCGTTCTACCAAATGGTATCACCAACCAGCATCAGAGAATGCTTCGCAGCAGTTCACAAACTGATGGATTCTTTAATCAGTCTGGCCTTTGGATTTGGCACTGGACATCACATTATGTCATTATGTCGCATGACAGTAGCAAATTTTTCAGTCGTCCGTTTGTGCACGGATTTGGTGGCTTGTCTCATGTGTCGACGTGTTTGTTTGAGAAGAGTGATCCTCGAATGCTCGTTGTCTGCTCCATGTCGACTTGGTTCTTCGGCTGTGGGTCATGGCACTCGGACACTGACGGGTTAGACTCCCTACACCACAGGTCCTCAGAGACGTCGGGAGGTCCACCTACTGGGGAGGTCTATCCCACAGCCATTGGGGGCAAAAACGCCCCCAAGGTGTCGCGACCGTAAGACACTCACAGAGTGTGGCTTCACCAAAAACACCCAGGTTCGCGACCTGTCTGGGACTGCCATAGGACTGCCGATCAGTTGGGGTGGTGCCAGGGGGGTCTGGCTTGATCGGCATATATTCCAGTCTCATGGAGTGTATGGGAAAGATAAAGGCATCATTCATAATCGAATCATTGATCAACCGTATCGTTCTCTGCATGAACATCGTCGTGCTATCGACATCTATCTGCTGAGTCACAAGTGGTGAAAGGAATCTTTCGTTCTTCTAGCAGTGCCGACTGATGCCTTATTAGCCAAATTGCTTGACTGGCTGACCCCCTCAATTTCCCTTGAAAAGAAGGTTAACCTTCATATGTACTGGGGAAACCAATCCCCCGAAAAAGGTTTTGCTGGTTATCCACTTTTCCTGGGTAGGGCTTGAAGACATGGCGACTCTCTGAAGAGACTCGTCAACACGCCGAAGAGAAAAAACTCTCGTCGAGGCCCCTCACCATCATCATCCTCAACTGGTAGAGCCGCTGTGCTGGGCTCGCCTATCCAGACGAGGGAGGCGAGGAGCATGCGATCTTCATGGGGATGGTCTTGGAGTCGCAGGGACTTCGAGTTCGTTGTTGTTGTTCCGGAGCTTTTTGCGGCCCAGAGAAGGCACATGAACCTCGTTCTTTTGTAGCGATGACCGGTCATATCGCCCGCAAGATCCCTGCTTTGAGGCAAAATACCATGAGTTTTTGGATAGAGTTCTTTACTTTCTCTTATGCAGTAGGCTCAATATGCCAGACAGTATGCACACAGTTTCTTGCCACAAGGGGTACAAACAGTATGCAACACAAAACTGGGCCTATGCCCAAAACATCATTGCCATCTTGAGGACTGGTTCTTGGAGAAAGGCTCTGCACATTCTGTTGACTGGGCACAAACGCTTCACCTAATTATTCGGCCTGTACCAATGACAAATCAAAAGAACAAGTCTGGCAATAATGGGTTTCTAAAGCCTAAGCGCTTCTCATAACGCGAGCAGAATACCACAAGACACCACCAGTTTTTGGCGCCTGCGGCGGGGACTGTGCACCACGTCGGAAGCGCAGCATCTGCGCGGCAGGCGGCAGGCAGGCGGAGCGGGTCGGTCACCCGATGAAGAAGCATTTCCAGGTTCCAAGGTCTGAACCCATGAGGCCGGAGGAATGGATCAGTGAAAACCCATGCCACATGGACTAAGACCGCATTGGTTGACGCCCAAGGCCCAGATTCACTGCAAAAAAAGGCCCCAGGCGCCAGAAATCCATGAAATGATGTTTGTCATTGTTTGTCATTTGTTGGATTTTGTTGGCTTGTCCCGCAAGTACACCAGGCATCCGCAACTCGTGGAACAGTTGTAGTTTGATGAGGGGGTCCTTGAAATCAAACTGGGTGTGAGTCGGTGTGAGTAAAAGTTTGTCAGACTCACTCATGCCACTGATGACCAAGCACTTTCCTTTCTTTTTCGACATATCCAACAGTCGCCATATCCTAAACACAGAAAAAAAACAACAACAACACCCTTTCTTTCTTTCATTCACGCCCCCTCGGCGCAGTCGCCGTGGCTGTCACAAACCCACCCGACAGACCTCACCTGTCGCACCGTGGCCGACCACCCATCGCCACCCATCTGGTCAACGCAGGAAAACCCAGTCCCAAAGACATGGATGTTTCCCCAAACAACCATTGCCTATGTAAAGGATCTTAAGTAAGCCATTTTGGGTTCCAACCATTTGTTTCTGCTTGGGACCCTGGTTTCTCCAGGTGCCTCGGTGACTTCCTCCTCTGGAGACCGACCCAGCCTTGTTGTGGAAGATCGTTAGCTCCCCCAGATCCTGCACAGCCCAGATCGGCGCAGAACATCGCCACAGCTGCGGCCGAAGAGGTTCTGCGCCGGCTGTTTTTCGATGTGGGCAAAGACCCGGCTTTTTTCGATGTCTGGTGGAATGCAGCAAAGGTGCGAAAGTGACTCGCGAGCCGGGACAACTGGACTGTTGCAGTGAAAACCCTTTTTTACAGAATGACCCTTATTTTCCACCTGTCCATTTCCCGCAAAGACAAACTCTGTCCTCGAAAAGCAGCTTCTGTTCCGGTGAACTCAGGGACCTGTCCTCGAACTTTGTTTCGAATCAAACGAGGTAGTGAGAAGACGGACATCTGGGCTTGCCAGGTGATCGGTGGTGATCGGTCAGCATCCCGCGGAGCAGACATGGACCTCCCCAGAAAACTCCAGCTGTGGTGAAAAGACCGCGGAGCAAAGGCCTATGTGCCCCCAGCTGGAGCCTTCAACGTACACATGATTTGAGGGCAACGCGTACATGCTTCATCGGTTCATCCCCAAAATTGCCTCACTCGACGAAGACCCCTGTTTTCCTTCGTGCCCTGTGAAGGAACCATCAAGTGCAGTACGTCCAGTTGGCCGGTGCTGAGACGGCCGGGGAATGGAGCAAATCGTCGCGACAAAGCAGCCCATGTTCACATCACCTTTCAACATCACCTTTCAAGAAGAGCACTCAGTACCTCAGTACCTCAACGATCTACCTCAGTCACCCCCGACCGGCACTGTGTCTCCGCCCCACCTCCGCCTCCTTGTTCCCCCTCCCCTCTCCGCGCCTTGAGATCTCGTTCCGCCAACTCCCAGCCGAGGTAGCGGGAACTGAGCGGGAACGGAGAGGGAACGCAGTGGTGTCAGCATACCCATGAAATACCACCCATACATGGGCGAATTGCATCAGCTTCATGCATCCATGTATGCATCCCAGCCAAACTGCAAGGGCAACTGAAGTTTCATCCATTTCCCCTGAGGATACAGACTTCTGCCGAAGAATCTCGGTCTGTGTCCCCACCTGACGATGGCCGTGGACGCTCCCGCCGGACGATGGCCGTTTGGACGTTTGACGTGGATTTCTCCCAAAGACATGAAAACCATTGCTTTTACTGTAACTTTTAACTCCCAAACACATCCAAACACTCCATAATCTCCATATATACCTCTTTTTGTTGGTTTAATTTGTTTCTTTTTTGACCAGCCACCGAGGATCATTCCAGGTCTCCGACATGGTGGCGATTGCAGACTTTAAAGTCGCAGGATGCTGGTAGATATCCCTTCTGACTCCGGGCCGCTTCACCAACACCTTGGGGGTTTGGACACCGGGTCCGTCTTTCCGCGAAGAGGGAGAAGGGGGATCTCTACCTGGAGCATCCCAGACCTGGGTGACCTGGGTGTAGTGGGCTCGGGGGAAGCGTAGTGGGCACACCCAGATGGTCGGAGTGAGCGACTCGCGACGACTCGGGTCGCTGGGACGGTCAGCGACCGACCGATCTTCCATGGGCCTTGTCATCCATATCCCAGACACGACGACCCATGGGACTGCCATGACGGACTGCCTTCAAAACGGCCAGGGATGGTGCCAGGGGGGGTCTGGCTTGATCGGCATAGACTTCCAGTCCCATGGGTCGTGTATGGGATATGTATCCCATACATGACAAATGGGACTGGAATATATGCCGATCAAGCCAGACCCCCCTGGCACCATCCCTGGCCTGATCGGCATACACGGCAGTCCCACTAGTCGCGTCTGGGATACAAAAAACAGCCAAGTTCGGCATCAATTGGGCAGATTTGGGAAGATCTATGACATTGACTAACCACCACTGGATCGGCCAAATGCAGGTGCCAGGCCAGAAGGTCGCCGCTCCGAATCCCCCTTAAACAGGTCAGTCCGGTCGCTCATGAAATACTGGACGTGGTCATTGGATCAAAAACGCTGAGAACGGATCGATTCATTGGACCAGGACGTTCGAATCGATTCGTCGGACCAGGACGTTCGATTCGATTCGGGAGACCGTTTCGTCTCAGAAAAAGACGCTCGTCCCCGGCAGCTCGCCACGTGCTCCGGAAAGGTGATGTGAGACCATGGTAGCTCAAAAGAAGGCTATGGACCATCGGGTCCGTTTTCCCAACGAAGAGGGAGGGAGAAGGCCCGGGCGATTCTTAGGGTGGAAGGTGTTCCTTCTGGATCTCGCGTCGCCTGATCTTCAGTGGACGAGCGCAGATCCTGGACCGAGCGAAGGACCTTTGGTCGCCTTCCGGTGGGTTTTGTGAGGGGGGGCGGCAGGAGGAACAAGGGTGTGGATCGGCCGAGGTTTGCAATGGCAGGTGGTGCATGATTCAATTATATTCAATTCCGACCATTGACCTCCTTACAGGTTGTTTGGCCTTTTCGAGTGATTCATGCAACATCTTCTTAGAAGGAAAGAGATGGAAAGAGTAGTTATTGCTTCTGAGTGTCTGGTCTTACATACCCGCACCTCCGCTATACACCTCCGCTACACCATCTGATGCGAAGTTGAAGGGAAGTCTCGACATCGATTGAGAATTCCCAACTCAAACCACCCCAACCTAGGCAAGTATGCTAGCCCCATGGAGTGTCCGGGATTAATGATTCATCAACAGGAGGAGCATTCAGGCTCCACTGGAAGTAAACCAGTTCCATAAACCAGTGCTCAGCTCCAACTGCTGTATATAGTCATAGGGTGTACAATAATCGCTTCGAGTGATGTATCTTTCTGAGAGCTCTTTTTATCAAGAAGTGAATATCAACACCATATCAATCAAAACCATACCTCGGATCCATCCTATTATTTGTAACAGTGGATGATGATGACGGATAGTAAAGGCCTTGTTCAAAAAATGATGATCATTGTTTACTGACTGTTACAGATCATAGGACAGACCCAAACCATACCCCTGAAAGACAATGGAGAAAAATGGTTGGCACTGGTTTTTGTAGTGTACAATCCTTGAAACACAAGGTTGTTTGGTCTCGTCCTTGCGCACTGCGCACGCTGTTGCGCTTCTCACGGACCCTTCCACTATTGTAGTGGGGGTGTCCAGAGAATGACCGTGTGGGAAATACATGCTTTGGAAGATCATGGTCGCTTGATGTTGTTTGGTAAGAATCATGTAAGATCCATGGTGCTTGGACTCCTAGAAACAAGGCATGACAGACCTGAACTGCATCCGACCAGTTCAGGAACCCTCTCATGCCGGGCAGTCCGGTGCGAGGTCCCAACTTGTGGCAGTTGGCAGTTCTGATCCCTGATGATCCCATGAATGCATCACCGGGCATCACCGGGCATCACTCCATTGCATATCTAGTGGAGCCCTGAAACCACCCCAAAGGCATGTAGATATTCCAGTCCCCATTGGAGCGTCTGGGTCATGATATGTCATGTGGATTAGAAGTCGATTCTTTTGTGGTCCCTACGAATTTTGCAAGTCGCGAGCAGGGTGGCAAGCATCACCTGGCCCACCAACAGCATTGGCATGCAGAGCATTGGACTCTTTGGATTGGTATCCACAGCTGCCGTCAGACTGACTCCTTCAGTCTCCCTGGAACATAAAGGTTAACAGTTAACCTTTGTCCATCTGTTCCACCCGTCTCGCGCGCACGTGCGCGCACGTGCGACGCTCTGAAAGAAAACGCACCGAACATATATTTATCTAATTATCGCACCCCGTCAAAGAGTGGGGAACCCACTTCAAAAAATTTTGCAGGCTGTCCACTGACTGGGTATGCAAATGGGCCTGTCACAGCCTGATGAGCATGCCGGCACCGATTCCGCTCAAGTGCTTGAGGCCCCTGCTCGCAGAAGAGGCAAGCCTTGCACACACATACACACAAACGGGGTGCGGTTGGTCCTGGTCATGGAAGACGAAAGAATGAAGCAGTTCATGTTGAAGGTACAACACCTGAGAATTTCTGTTGGCAATGGCTATGATTGTCGAGATCTTTTGCCCAGTTTCATTTACTTGACCCAGACGCGACGACCCATGGGACTGCCGTGGGACTGCCGAGAAACGGCCAGGGGTGGTGCCAGGGGAGGTCTGGCTTGATCGGCATATATTCCAGTTCCATTTGTCGTGTATGGGATACATATCCCATACACGACCCATGGGACTGGAATATCTACATTAACCCCCCTGGCACCACCCCAACTGATCGGCAGTCCTATGGCAGTCCCAAACCGTCGTGTATGCGTTATGCTTCGTCCATCCGACCACCGATTGCCGACCCAAAGAGCATCCGACCACGACGAAGGTCCCGTGATCGATCCAAAGCCATGGACAGGAGATGACTGGAGGCCGGAGGCAGTGGCCGGTTTTCGCCCCACAGGTTGACACACTGGTTCTTCCCCCCCGAATGAAGCAAGGACGCGACGGTACTAGGGGCTCCTAGCCTTACTAGTTAGTAAGGCTAGGAGCAATGTTCGCTACTATAGGAACAAAGGGCATCGCTACAAACGGAGCAAGGACGCTACTAGGTTGGAGGCCATTGCTATTAGAGAGAAAGAAAAGGAAGAACAAGCTTCTTCTCACGCCCCCACACTCTTTTTACAACGGCCATTTCATGCCTCTCCAAACGCTGCTGTTTCCCCATTCCCTCAGCAACTCCCTGGTGAGGACTTGGAGGTCCCACACCACTCTTCCGCCCCATGGAAACGCGCCCATTTTCGGGCGAATGGTACGTACTTTCTGTCAAGGACGAATGAACATGGTTGACTGATGTTGACTGTTTTTCTTCATCATGATGAAATCAATCCTTCCATATGACCCAAACATATATATAGTATATAGCATGGGACTAGCATCTTAGCTGATCAGTGGAGGTGGTTGGGAAGGTGTCGACCGAGGATTCATCTGACAACCGGTCAAGTCCTTCTGTTCTCGGAAGTCCTCCCCTTATAAGAATCCGGGTTCGGTGTGGTTTCGGGCCGAATCCGTGTCGGTCCAGGCGCCCGAACCCGGATTGGGAGGTTCGGGAAACCCCGACGACCCCGACGACCGGATCTGGGGCCGAAGAGGTGGTACAGTTTTCAGAGTTCTTTTGCACTGGCGATGGCCTCCAATCGCTACAGTGTTTTCATAGCTCAACAAAACCAGTAGCTATGGCCTCCTACGACTGCGATGGCCTCCCCAAGATGGTCCACCAAACCTTGAGGGTACCGTGCCAAGCCTAGCCGCGCCATCCCGTTCTGGGCTTCGGGGCTGGAGGACTTTCGCATCCTTTTGCTTCGGCCTCCCGCGGAGGGAAATCCCGTCCGACCGATGATTCGGAGGATGAGTCACCGGTCCAGCGGGGTGAAACACCTAGGAAGAAACTAAGACGTAAGAACACGAAGCAGGTGACAGGTCTGAGGTGGCCATGTTTTGGAAGTGCAATTCTTTTTTCCAGCCCAGTATGTTCTGTTCTGTGGCGTCAAGCGCCAAGGACTGCCAACATGGAAGAAACAAAGAACCGTAAACCAAGAGGATTGTTGGCACATAACTTATGAAGATTTCAGAAGACTCCGATCAAAGCTCTTTGGCATGTTTCGTGTCTCTACACACTCGCGAGATTCACAGCTGCTGGTTGGCAGGGATGTGAACAAGTGTATGTCTCCCACTGAGGGTCAACAAGTATGGACAAAACATCAAATGCAATCCTATCACACCGTCAGCATCGTCCGTAGCCCAAAACACCGTCAGTTCTGAGCAAGCAATTGCGGGAGAATCCGATTCGGCGCTGCGTGGCGAATTCTGCCACATGTCCTAAGATTTGAGTGAAGGAATCCTGGCGTGTCTTCCAACAACCAGTGAGATTCCTTGAGTTAAAGGTTTACCTTAATCCTGTCTGTTCCATCTATCGTACAACTCTCTGGTTGGCAGAGAGTTGTACGCCTGGGAAACCACGTAACAACCGCTTCAACCAGGCTTTACAGGTGATCCACGTACCGAACGCTATGACCAGCCGGCTGTCACCAAGCAGCCTGGATTTCGGTCAAGCTTGGGCTCCTGGAAATGGGACGAAGAGCGAAGAACGAAGGCTCGGGGTATGTGTCGTAGCTTCGGAGCCCAGTTCCGGAGCAGCTTCCGCGCGAAAGCAGATAGGACACTCCCAAGTGCTTCTGGTGTTCGGGTCAAGTTGTCCCCTAAGAATCCAGGCCCTCAAACAAATACCCAGACACGACCTGTCTGGGACTGCCATAGGACTGCCTATCAGGCCAAGGATGGTGCCAGGGGGGTCTGGCTTGATCGGCATCTATTCCAGTCCCATGGAGTGTATGGGAATGGTTGACATGGGGTACTCCTCAGCTGACATGGTCATGAGGTATTGCTGACACGCCATCATGTTGTCACAGTTGTCACAGTTGTCATGTTGTCATGCCCTCAGGCGACTCATGCGGCGACTCATGGCTTCTAACATGAATGACTTTCTTCTTCCTGCGTCAATACCACACCGGATGCACTGACACGGTGTCGGTGTTGGTGTTGGTGTTTGGTCGCTTCAACTGCGGAACTGGCCGGTGTTGGTGGGCCTTGAGCTGTTGGGGATTTTTCTTGGGCTTTTTTTGAATGCTGTCAGTGTACGTGTGGACACGCTAGCAAAACATGATTCATGACTTGTGCACGCTGATCTGCTCGCACGGTTTCAAGCTGATCTGCTCGCACAGATGGAGTGTTTCGTCCGTTGAACGAGTGAGTGTCAGTCGTTGTCAAAGGTCATTGAGGTGAAGTCTTTTCGCTATAAAAAAGGCCATCCCGTTTGGGCTCCTGGCCCACCTCCGAAACTGTGGTTGGCACGGGTGCGAGGGGGGCCCAACCTTCTGAGGAGATGGTTGGAGCCCTAGGGTATGATAGTGATGTATTTTTTTTGTCCGTTTTTCGATGGCTTCATCAGGCCCTTCGTCTTTCCGTCTTTTTGCGCTTTCTTTGCTGCGAGCCGTTCTAGTCGCACGGATGCTTCACGTATCTTGTCTTACTTCTCTGGCTTTGAAGATATGATCCATGGCATGTTCTTGACATGTCCTCACCTAGCTAGTTGTCCAAACGATTCCCCAACATGTATATAGAGAATATCAAGAGGATTGGGCACTAGGCACGACAGTAGATTCGCCCTGTGAGGGGAATCTGGTGTGGAGCATCCTCCATCTTGACCTCCACAGCTCATCCTCCATCTGGGTGTTGGGACTTCTGCGGAATCTTGTTACCCTATAGAAATCATTGGACCCGCCCACTTCTGGAGGGTTTTCACACGTTTTGATCTTGCTTTTCGCGATTTTGGATCCTCTTTTCACCTTCACCATTTAGGGTCGGTCCTCTACGAACGTAGCAAGAAGCGTAGCTCACGTAGCTCCCGGTAGCGTTCGGACGCTACGAACGTAGCGTTCGCACGCGAACCGAACGTAGCGGTTATTTTTTTCGCCGACTGGGAGGTTCCACAGCTCATCCCAGGACTTCGGCCGGCCAACGACAGAAAACCTCCCGGATGCCGCCCTAGCAGCTCTCTGCTGGGTTTCTGGACACACACGTTGGGTCTATCCTATTACCAGTAGGAGTGGATGATTATGGTTAGTAAAGGCCTTGTTTACTGACTGTTACAGGTAATAGGATAGAGGATAGACCCAACATCTACACCAACCTTGCTTCTCTTACTTCTATCAGTTGGCATGTTGTTTGATCTCTTGTGTTCCTCACTGGACGTGAAATAGGTGCAATACAGCTTGAACCAACAAATGGACTATACCAGCACCATCCATTTCGGGTGGTTATTAGATGGAAAATACATCTTGAGGGGGGTCTAGTCCAACCACCCTAGCCCTGGGTGGTGCTGGTTGAAATATGGGAGACCTCAAACCAATTCAGATGTCCAAACGCCTCACCATGAGGACGCCGAACGCCTACCCGGACACTGCATGGAACTGGCTCACTTCCTGCGACCGATCCTACGTTGGTTTCAGGGGTCCATCGAGGCCTTTTTCCTTCCAGCCTCATGGAGTAGTTGGAATGCTGACTGAACTGCTGATCCTTTTTGGAGCTTCTCCAGGCCATGCTCGGAACTCAACACCAAAGACCCCCGATCATGAAGACCAACTTGAGATGTAAGACCAACTCGATGGAGGAGAGTCGGAAGGACCACATCTCCTCCCCGACCTGCGAGAAATTGCCCGCAGATGTACGCTTTAACATCACTGGGTTCACTTGGTGGGGGACATACAAAGGCTCTATATCGAGAGCCTTTTGGGTGCGTGTTCAAAAAGGACGAAGGAAGTCACAGCCAGAATCCTTTTAGCAAAGGACACCAGGCTACCCAAGCTACCCAGCGGTGAAAATCTCACACCAACCCATTTGGACGGTCACCGTTGACCACACTCCACCCATGTCTGCCATGTCTCGGGCAGGTCCTCCAGCACTCGTTCCACAGGACTGGCGGCGCGTGGCACGGACGTTCGAGGTGAATCACTTCGACGGACGCGAATTCTTGAAGCTGCTTAACACTCTGTCCACATCGAATGGTGGTGTGGGGGATCACCACATTAACCAAGAGAGGTAGCCAGTGACCTGAACGTTCGGACCCGTCACCGGCCGTCACCTGGGATAGTCTAGAGTCGAACGTTCGGGTCCTTCAACCTCTCAATGTCAGACTTACCACCATGTCTGAATGTCAACCACCAACGTCCTGGGGATTCACGGGTCCGCCATGTCTGCTTCCACCATCGGTGTCCCGGAACGGTACACCGAGACAGACAGACGGACCCGTCCAGCTCCGACCCGAAAGCGAGGTGAAAAGCTCTCCCTACGGCGACTCTGGAAGACTCTTGGCTCACCAAATTGGTGATGTGTATATAAGACTAAGGCGACCCAAGGGGGTGCAGAATGCTGCAAAGGTTTGGGGACCCCGCAACTCGACGTCTCGGAGCAAGAATCAAACCCAAAAAGAATCCAGCCATTGGCTTCGAATGGTCGCAATCTCTAAGGAGCCCTTCTATTAAATAGTGGTTTGCACCATCGCCACACACGGACGGAGGCCATCGCTAGTAGGTTGGAGGCCATCACTATACTAGCAACCAGAAGTTACTAGTAACTTGTTTATACTACGGATCTTAGACGACCAACATCTGGTCTCTCTGAGGGTACCATAACCTGGCTGCGCTTGCTGATTTCGTGTCCATACGCCATCGCCAGGTTTGGTGCCTGAAACTCAGGTAGTTGCTATGTTTTGAGAACCGAAGCAGGCACAAGAGAAGAGTGTCAAGTGTCAGGCTGAGAGATTCTGGCAATCGCTCGACTCAGTCTCTTTCTACGACTATCTGGGACACCATCACCGTGAAGCGGCACGTCCAAGTGTCGGTCTACTTTCCAGGCTTCCAAACATTCCAAACACAACAAATGCAATCTTTAAACTCCCTAGAACAATCCTGGAAGTGGATGGCGTGGCTGGAGGAGCATTTTCTGAATACCAACTGCTGGTGCCCCTCCAAAACGCGCAGAAAGAATTCCCATCGCCTGAACACATCAGCTTCCGGCTCATCTTCCCTGTTTTTTGCGGCCGCCGAAGAAACCCGGCGAGCGTCGGTGCAACTTGACTGGTAGGATGATCAAACCAAAGCATCCGCCCATCAACTATGCCTATGTGTGGGTCTCGTGTGGGTGGGTCCACTGTCGTTCTGGAGAACACAAAGAGCTCTTGCAGCTCTTGCTGTATTTTGCACGATGGCCTCCAACCTACTAGCAATGAAAAGGTAATTAAGAGTATCTTCACCTCAAAGGGTACGTGGATCCATAGGGGGGAGTGGTAGACCCTAAACCCTAAACCGGTCGAGTTGAGAAGACAAAAGGTTCGCGCCCAAGGGGCTCCATTCCAAGCCTAACCGGTTTTGAGACGAATATGCGGGTCCGGCCACTGAACGGAGGGTCCATGCGCGTCTTCAGCGCTGAAAGCAAGCCACAATCTTGTCCGGTCGAACAACAAATATGAGTAAGATTGAGTAAGTGGCGTCAGTCATCCCAAGTAGAGGTTCAATCTCTGAAACCCACCGCTAGCGTTTCTTTTGCCCAAGCGATGGGCCTGGAACTTAAAAAAAACGGTGGACACCACCACGCAGTTTCTGTCTAAAAAATCTGGAGGATATTCTCAAGAGTAGCTAGAATCCCGAAGACCTCCCCAGACTTGTCTTTCACACCTGGTCGACCACGCAGCCAAACGCAACCAATGGCGCTTCATGCGTATCCCATCTCTTTGGTATCCCAATGGCGCTTCATGCGTAGCCAAAGGTCTCTTGAAACCCTATCGACCCTTCTCCCACACATGCCAGTCATCAAACTCCTCCGGGACGTCCCCGGTCCGAAGACCCCTGTCGGAAGATCGACCCGGGGCCGGTTCCCCGGTCGACCACGACCGCGATGCGTCGGACGTTGCCTCTTCTCCCGCTTGATCCTCTTGGGTGGTCGGACCTGCCGAGGACCGACGGCTGCGTCTCGACCGGAGCGGCTGCAGCTCAGCTCCGATGTTCGGTTTCAGACGAGTGACGACCTGGAGGATCGTGGATTTGACGAGTGACTAGGGTGGGGTTGCGGGGTGACGTGGGGTTCGAACCCTTAATCAAGAGTCTACCTTTCTTTTCTGGATGAGTATGAGACTGTATCTCTGAACATGTGTGCTAACTCGGGGAAGTGATCGGACATTGTGGCGGGTATGTCACCAACACGATCATTCAAGTTGCTTTTGGGTTCCTGCACATAGCGCCTTCATGAAACAGCAACAGCAGCAGCAGTAACACAGTAGTAGGCTCAACCTTCTACTACGAGTACTCTGTCACAGGTTTCAACACAGGTTTCAACACTTGCCAAACAAGTGCAATCAAGAACAAGGTGGATGTAGATCCAACTTCATGGATCGAAGTTCATCCTGTAGATCGATTCTGTCAACCGACCAACAAAGGAAGCGAGATCTCAAGAGCACCAGCTGAGCTTCTCCCAACCACGAGAGGGGCGGCGCCAGCTCTGCCTTACGTGCGTAGAGATATGCCAGCAACTCCTTCCGCACCTGCCAGGCCGCCAGGCGCGCTGCTTCTCGATTTGACCGTCTCGGTCTCATACTTGACCCACTGACCCACTCGACGCGAGCCGCTCGGCTGAAAACCATGACCAAATAAGGAAACATCAGCTCCCCTTCAGTCTTCAAGTCCCACAGCATGGATTGTTGATGATTTCTGTACGACAGAGAGTGGAGTGGTGTGATCCTTGGCCTTTTTTGACGTTACTTGCAAACAACATTGGACACTTGTCATCCACTGTGGCCTGCCATGTTGTCCCGGACACCAAGCAAGTCGACTGCAAAACAACTATGAAGCCGCCCCAGCCACACAAACACTCAAGCATCATCTTAAGATGTCTTAAGATTGTTTTGACACATCTTTCTAACCTCTTCTGGGTTATTGATGTCATGTTCTGTCTATTGCAGGGAGTGTAGCCGCTCCAGCTTGGCTCCAATCTTTTTTTTCAGATTCAAGCGCCTTGGCGTTCTTGGGCGGGTGAGACATGCCCAGCCTGGCCGTCCAAGTGGTTGGTGCGTGGCCCAGCTCTAGCTCTCCAAACCCTCCAAGAGGATCACGTGAAGGTGGGGGTTTCTCCACCTCTTTGGTCGTTCATGGTCATTCTCAAAATCCATTCTCATCCACCTGCCCATCCCAACAACATCAGCTATGATTCAATGATTCCTTCGACATCTCTGGTGTTTTTCGAAGTTTTTGCACCCAAACACCTTCTGGCTTATTTGTCCGGAAAAGAGAAGAACCACTTGAACACAACTGGCACCCAAACCAGTTTTTTAAATAGAAAAGGATCACAAAGAAAAGAGACCTTTCCAAGAATCCACACGGGCCCTCGAATCCACAGGGCCTTCTTGCCTTCTTCCTCTTCGGGGGAAGTTCCGGACCTTCCCAAACCAAACAGGGTCCGGATTCTCAGGATGATGTTCAATGTCACGTCTAAAAGGCTATTACAACGACACCCTATTCATTTCCCTTACACGACGGTCCATGGGACTGGAATAGGACTGCCCATCAAGCCAGACCCCCCCCAAACCCACCATCCACTGGCCGTTTTGAAGGCAGTCCGTCATGGCAGTCCCAGACTAGTCATGTCTGGGCATGATTCAGTTCAAAATGGAAGGGCGCTTCTAGCTACTAGTAGTCATCCCAGGCTCATCCTGGACATGGTTTCCTGGCTAGACTAGCCTACCTTACGTCAACAGGCCAGACAGGGCACCCATGTCCAGGAAGTGCTAGGACACGACACGCACCCGACGCGACGCGTCGAAGTCGCGTCAGGGCCTAGGAGGACCGAAGTCGTGTGGCCCGTGCCTCGGTGAAGGACGAAGGACGAAGGAACGACCAAAGACCCTCAGTTCGTCTTCAAAGACGAAAGACCAGCAGGGCCAAAGACCCTCAGGTGAAGACCAGCAGGGCCAAAGAGATTCTTCCCTAAGAATTTCCAGACACTCAGTGAAGGTGAAGGTTTGGTTTCGGGTCCAAAACCCCTATGATTGCAAGGTGAAAACCCATCATAGGAGGGTCCAATGATTCTTAGGGGTGGATAGAAAAGACACACCAAGAAACACTCCCTTGATAACTAGCTTATGTAGAACTATAGACATGTTAGACTGACATTTTTGGACCGGCACATCTTTCCAAGCGTGGCCACATCTGCCATGTTTGGGCTGTCTGCGGTCTCCAAACAACCTAAGGTATCTGACTTGAGTATCACACACACAAAGCATGCAAAAAGAGTCAAAAAACACGACAACACATGCTTGGACGACATACAAAAATACCTCACTGATAAGTAAACAGTATGTGTGAGAGCAAATCCCACTGATAACCTGCAGTGAGAAATCTAAAAAAACCATCCAAACAACACAGAATCGGCAGTGTTTTCTCTCCAGAAATTGTTTGGGGATGTGCACCAACGAGGCCTAAACACTCCTCATGCTGTTGAATTCCAAGCACTCTTCATCGGAAAGAAGCGCGGCTTTTTGCCGCGCACACCGTGTCTTTTTGATATACCGATCCCTACGCTACGCTTCCATGTACGTAGTGGGGACCCTCCCAATATCACTACATAGAGTCCAAACATGACCCCTGTTTTGATGAGAAAAACATCAGATTGCCTGTTTTGATCCAAAATAGTTGTCACTCAGGTTCTAGGTAAGATGGTGTTGTTCCGGATCTGCTTCGGCAGCACGACTGGCCACCATTCGTTCCATCCCATGGACCGCCTCGCCTCCCTGGCAAAGGGTTGAGCGGCTCCCAGGTGAACCATTTCTCCTGTGCCCCCCATGAAGCAACGAGGAAGGTGTCGTGGGTGAACAACATGATTCAGTGGTTGCCAACAACAACAGAAAAAACAACAGCAACAACAACCACTCCCAACAAGAACAGCAACAACAACCACAACCACTAATCATCCTGCTGCTGCTGCTGCTGCTACGGATGTCAATTTCAAGAATCAAGAAGCAAGAAGCCACGGCCAGTTGCGGACCCCATTTGCGGACCTGTTTGCACAACCAGTTCTTCGAAAAACTATGAACATCACTCTCGCAGTTCCTGAAGGGCTGGCCAACGGGAAGTCATCGTCGGACGGCCAGTCTCTTTGATGAGCAAAAAGGAGTGGGAGAAGGATTCATAAACAAAATACGGCTTGGCCGTCCGGTCCTTTGCCAATTGTTTAGCCTTGACGGATGTAGTGCAGGCTTGCGAAGCACCAAACGCTCCCGTACGTGCTCTGTGAACCTGTCGGTGTATCGCCCTGTATGGCCGAGGGCCCACGGTCCCAGTCAAAGCCAAAGCTCATCGTTTTCTTTTTGAAACTTTGGGTCTTTGGGTGTATCGAAAACTCCCCAGTGGATGATACTTCAGTTGCAGGCCGACATCCATCTCAAAACGAGTGATTTGCTCTTTTATTGACGGTTTACAGGTCCTGGGACACGCATAAGCTCCACTTTCGCATGAACTCCTGGTTACAGTCACTAGATCAACTCCACTTTCGAGCTCCGATCCACCTTTTCAGAAAAGCCGGTGACCCGGTCAGTGAACCCGCGTCCTCATGATCCTCGGGTGGGTAGACCTGGCGGCCGCAAAAATGTGCCTGAGACTCGGGTGTTTAACAGCCAGAAATGGTTGCTTGCCTAGCACTTCCAATGGGTGCCCGATGGAGGCCTGTAAGTAAGGTAGGGGGTAGTCTATTGCACACCCATTGGATGACCCTGGTGGGTTTCTACTGAACTGAGGGCTTTTCAATGGCTTTCATGGTCTTTCACTACTTTCCACAGTCCTGGAGAACCTTTGAGTCTCTGAGACACAATGAACAGCTGCAGTCCCTGCAGTGCTAATTATTCTTGTGGTACCTATAAGGATGGTTTTCTGGTCACTTTCAGCAATTGCTATGCAATGGTCCAGAGTTTGTACAAGTCTTTGCCGCTGGCGTTGTTTGCCAGTGTGTGGGACTTGACATTGAATAACATCACCCTAAGAATCCGGACCCTCAAACACATAGGGTTTTGGTCCGGATTCCTGCTATGGAGGGCCCGGCCCCTGCCGCCCCAAGGATTCTCAGTGATTACAATCCATCATGACTGCGGAACGCTCGTGGAGGGGTTTATTCATTGGACATCCGGCAACATCGGTCCCCCTCCACGAGCAGTCGTCCAGCCAACCAAAAAACACAATTCAAACAACATCGAATCGGTTGCTACGAGCTGTTTCAAGAGGTTCGACATGATCCGGCTGTGGGGAACTAGGCAGCAGGATACCAGCCCCTTGACCTACCGGCAGTGTACAGTCAAGCTTTGTTGCAACTTGAACGACCCATCCCCAATCCATCCATTTCCAACCAAAATCAGAAGTAAAAGACGCTCAAGCCACGGGGTCTTTTCAGCGCTTTCGCCGCCTTGCGCGGCTCTTTCGTCGTCCTCGCCGGTTGTCTTGGTGGTGGGTCGCGGTCGCGGCGAAACCGAAACCTCCCTCGGCCGGGTGGCCTTTTTCAAGTCCAGGTCATCCTTGGCCAGCGGCTTCTGAAGCAACTGGATGGCCTTGCCGGGGGGTACCTGCCGTTCCGAACTCGCACGGCGTTCGGTTCTAACGCGGGATGAAGGCGGGGCGGCCGGAACGTGCGTTCACCGAGTGACGGCCGGAACGTGCCGTGCAGTGTGGCGCGGCAAGAACGAATGCACGTGAAGAAGCGCCACGTGGCGGAGAACATGAAATGGATGGTGCAGCCGGGAAAAGACGGTATCAGATTGTAAATATATGCATTCATATGCAAACAAAGATTCACCCAGTGGGAAAACACACAGAACTTTGACACCAGAGCTGGACCAAGGCATCTGAATCATTCAACTTACAAATTGCGTTGCAACCAGTCATCGTGGTCAGCCACCAACAAGCACGCCAATCTTGCAACTCTTGGAACTCTCGCCCCGAGAACTCAAAATCCCCCCAAATCCACCAAAACCTGTTCAATCCTCCAGGTCAAGAAACACTCACTTCGGAATCAAACCAAATCCATTTGTCTAGGTCGGCCATCTCATCGAAATAGATTCCCAGGGCATTACTATTATAGTAATAAGAAGCTACTAGTAGCAAGGTGCATCGCTACGGACGTAGCAAGAAGCTACGGCTGTAGCTCCTGGCATTACTACTAGGAACAAGAAGCTACTGATTCCCAGGCACCTTCGGTGGACTTGGACTCCTCTTCGGTGAGGGAGCTTTGGCACCTCAGTCTGCCGAACAGAAAATGGGCAAAGGCCTGCGCTAAAGCTGTGATGAACCTGTCCTATATTATACACACATAGTTTCAAGTGTTTCAACATCTCTTAAATGTTAGAGGGTGTGTAGATGGTTTTTTTTTGTGTCATGGTCCATGAACCCATGGCTTTCGGCGAACGAACGGATGCCATGTTGCGCCCAACGTGCGCCCAGCTTCTTCCGTCCCGAGCAGTGACCGCAAAGCAAGCAGAGGATCAAGTTCGGTCACTTGGAAGAACCAGGTAAATAACGCAGAAAACACGCAGATTCACTGTTCATTGGGCTGTACACTTGCCACTCTTCCTACTTGAGAAAGTACCTGTTTGGTCATGGCGGCAGAAGCAACTGCTGGATTTTATCCCCTTCGGTCGCTCGCATTTGGCGGGCCTTTGACGAGGCTACCATGCCTGTTTTCATCTGCAGCCAGGCTGATGAATGCCGGTTCAACTGTATCGCAAAGGGACCCTGCGCAGAACCCATCAATGATCTGAACAATCGCGGCAAACAATCAATGAGTTCCTACCTAGCACTTCCAATGGGTGCCCGATGAAGGCCTGTAAGTAAGGTTAGTCTATTGGACACCCATTGGATGACCCTGGTATGGATGTTTTTCGTCTTTTCATCTTCAAAAACTCAGCTTGCATCTCTTCCGTGATCGTCCGGTCAAGGGCAGATTCGGAAACGAGGCTATGGATGTGGAAACTAGGGAGGCAACAGTGAGCATGGCGCAAACCGCATTTCACTGCCAGTTCTGCCATGTTTGAACTCTCTCACCAGGTAGGCCAGGTCTTCTCTGAACTTCCGGTCTCACACCTCCACCGTGCTAGCGGTGGCCAAGGTCCCACCCCACCCGACCTCACCTGTGCCCACAGCATCAACTGAGGAACGGCAACAAAAGGAACGTCAACACCACCTATGGACGCTTCTGGTCTTCCAGAAGGTTCTTGCCATGGAAGAACACAAGTGATGGTCGACACCACCACTGTCTGGTTTCCATGGACCATCAGTGGTGGTCTTCTTCCAGAAGGTTCTTGCATGTTCTTGCCATAGTCTGATTCATTGGAGCTTGTGGTGCAGATTGCACAGACGCTCGTCTGGGCCATCAGTCGGTGTTCTCCTCAACCCTCGGTGTCCGGCTGCCAACAACTCTGTCTCCGTCGCTTGCCTCAGATCCCTGCAAGCAATGGCTGTTCAGGTGAACCGAACGAACTCTTTCCACCTACAAACTCCACCTAATTCTTGTTGAGTGGGTGTCCCTAATTCCCCAAAAAGGTCCAAGTTGATCGAGCTCCACAGGCATTTAATCCCCAACAAATTAAGAGACCGCGAAACAATCAACAACTATCGCAGAAGGGAATTGAAGATAGAAAATCATAAGCAAAACCGGGTGCGTATCATCAAAAAATAACTGAGCGTCCCGACTGCGCGCCGACGCAGGAGAGACAGCTCTCTTGGGACTCTTCTTGGGTGACGGTGTCCGGGCTCCAGTGGCTTTCCTGGGCATGCGATGTGGATTCCTCCAACCTACTAGCTTCTTGTTGCTATAGTAGTAATGGCCTCCAACCTAATAGCGATGGCCTCCAACTAGTAGCTTCTTGTTGCTAGCATGTGGACATGGAAAGCCACAGAATCCAAAGTTTACAGTGATTTCATGAGTTTCTTCAACTGCAATCTGTTGACCTGGTTATACCAAACATGACCGCTGTTTTGATAGGACGTTTGACCATATTTGGGGTGGTTGGTGATCCGAATAGAGGTCGCTCAGGTTCTAGGTATGTATACACCAACAAGCACCGGAGTGCAAGGAAGGAGAGCTCGCACAGCTATCTTCACACCTTTTTCTCACACACGCTAGGCCCAGGCCGGAGTTGTACTATTGAGCGCCTGGTTGCGGCATGCGCTCCAGCCTCCTAAGGGTGCATTATAGGTATGTATTATATAGATTGAGGTTCCAATCTGAGATTTTGCAGATTGCCAGTCACCTCTAGAAGCAGGTCTTCCCACACACCAGGACTGAGCCCCGAGATTGGGGACAGGGAGGACAGTGCCCAGCGAGCGAAGCCACTGCGACATAGTCGAGACGAGAGCAGCTGCGAAACGCCTGACATCACCTGTCCAAGTCTATGTTGGCTGAAACATGCTCAGTATCCTGTGGTCCAAGTCACATGAGTAGAACACAGATGCAGATCATGATCTGTGCTCAAAGCCGGTTTGGATCTGTGGTCCTCAAGGTCTGAAGAGCTACCCGGCATGATGTGTCTCTCTCTCTCTCTCTCTTGCGGCGTTGCAATGAAATATATATGCCTACGAAGCCTGAGACACTGAAAGATCTATGCAATTCCTGCACTGCCATGCTTCACAACACCTCACTCAGCCAGAAGGGACTGGAATCCTGATTATGAACATGTAAACATCAACTGCTATGGAACAAATATTCATCAATGAGTTCTCAAAGAACACATCTTCAAAAACACCTATTCCAACATCCATTTGTTCGCCTCCTTCATGAGGATCTCTTTCTCTTCTTTCGACCACCCACCTGGAGGATCTCCAAAACACCCTCGCCGCGGGACGCCGCCCAGCGTCTGCCAACGTTCTGCTCGACTCTGAGACACCCTGGGCCAACGTGACCGGCTGGTTATGCATCGACTCGGTGGTGGAGTGAATCGGAGAGCGACGCTCTCAGTGGAGATCACAGATGACGCACTGGTGTGGGCCCTGAAAACAGGGTAAAGGACTGCAGTTTTGGTGGGTGTTCTTTGGTTCTTTTTGCGTCTGGCCGTGGCCCGGACCCCAAGATTTTTTGGGCATGTTCTGGACCGAATGGAACCCAGATGGGCCGGGCGTCCGTCACGCCGTCCGTCACGATGGTGAAAAACGTACCGTGTGACGGAACGTTCTTCGGATGAAACCACCCAAAGTCTGGTTGACAAGCATTTTGAAGCACACATTGTTTTGTTGAAGACAAAAAAGACCAGCTACAGCCAAGGATTTTGCTATTTTCACTCAAACAGTTTGCAGAGTCAATGGTTCCTTACATGATGTTCATGGGTTCAACCTTTTCCTGCAAACGCCCACGCCCTTCAAAACATGAAGCATCTCAGTGGTTGGAGGGCCTAGCATTGGAAGCCTGAGGGAAGCACATGAAGTAACGAAACTGACCTATTTGTTGGCTCTGGAACTCCTTCCCGAGGATCTGAGACCTTATGCATTTAAATTGTTTAACATATTCAGTTTACAACTGTTTGAAATGCTTTGAGGTGGGAATATACACAAACCACACCTTTTGTTGCCCTTGGTCCCATGCGGACTATCCCTCTAGCCGAAGGACGTGCCGCCCTGCTCTGGCGGCTTGAAGGCATGCCTGGCAGCACCAGCAAAAACCACCAAAACCACCCGCCTGGAAAACTGGGCTGTTCCGGTGGTGAACACAGGTAGGACGCTACGAACGTAACAAAGGGCATCCCTACGAATGGAGCAAGTACTAGGGGCTCCTGGCCATACTAGTAACAAGAAGCTACTAGTAACAGTTGTATTCCACATGTTTTTTTGGCACATGGCACATCAGCCATTGGACCATTGGACGAGCCAGGGGAAAAAAGACACCATGATTGGCTGCTTCGCTGCATGTGTCCGTATGCAGCCAATCCGTCATCACGTGGTCATCCCACCTTCGCGGAACCGTTCGGCTCAGCACGCCCTCCGTTTGACCAAGAAAACAGCCGATTCCCAGGACCGGACCGTGTGTTCCAAGCGGCTCACCGGACCGTGGAGTCAGCAGCGAATGTGCTCAGTGGTCCGTTCTTCGCCCAGGTTGATTTGGTGGGTCAAAGCTGCAACTCTGGCGGGAGAACCTCTTGGAGACTACAGCTAAAACCATAGAAGTGGCATGAAGTAGCAGAGTTGGGGAAGCGCAGAATTGGATTGAGACGTGCCAGCTCCTGTGGCACGTGCCAAAACCAATGGATGGTACCTCCAATATTCGCAGGAAGATCATCCACCTCGGAAATGTGGGATCCTTTGTCGAGTCTCTATGTTACTATCTCAGTCTACGTTAAAACCCAAGACGACCGTTGGGTTAAAGGAATACATGTTTTAAAGGTGCTGTTTCTGTCTTAGAGTAGGGAGAGTAAACCAAACCAACGGAGTTGAGTCTTGTTCTTCCCTTTGTTTTTCATTTCAATAGATATCACCATTTCAATACACACCCATTCTTGGATTTGCTTTAGGAACCTGGACAAAAATGTAATATTCTCCAGAAGGGGATTAACCCATAGGGAAGGCAAAAAATGACCTTATGCAAAACCAAACATTTCAATATGTTGATGCACCCACCGGCCTAGTATTCACCCGCCGAGACCCCTACACCTGGAGAATCCCTGGAAATCAAGTGTGCAAAAAAGGTCGTCTAACACGTTGCAACTTCAAAGTATTCGGTTCAATTCAAGTATTCTGTTGCTGAAATGTGTATACTCTATAGATCTCTATAGTAAACTAGTTGCCTTCAAACAATAGTGCTGTCAAATTGCAATTTTTTGCCAAACAAAAATCTGCCAAAACATGCCGCAAATCACTGGAACACTGAAGGCGGAGTAATGTGTCACTGTTCCATGAACATGTCCGGGTTGGAACAGTTAAATATCCAAATGGCAAATTTATGCTGACCATGGCCACTTTTCCCAGGTAGGTCCAAGATCTCCACCAATCACTACTTTTACCAATTTCTCCGCAAACAAAAAATCCACAAACCATCCAAGCAAGGGGGCAGGAGAGGACGCTACTAGGAGCAAAGGGCATCGGTAGTAGGAGCAAGGACGCTACTAGGAGCTCCAGGCCTTACTACTAGTAACAAGACGCTACTAGGAGCAAAAAACATCGCTACTAGTAACAAGGACGCTAGCTACTAGGGGCTCCTGGCCTTACAACTAGTAACAAGACGCTACTAGGAGCTACTAGGGGCTCCTGGCCTTAGTACTAGTAACAAGACGCTACTAG